TAATCCTAGTTACTCAGGAGGCTGAGATCTGAGGAACACAGTTCAAAGCCAGCCCGGGCAAGAAAGTCTGTGAGACTCTTATCTCCAATAAACTACTAGAAAACCGGAAGTGGTGCTGTGGTTCAAGCGGTAGAGCTCTAGCCTTGAGTTGAGGAGCTGAGGGATAGTGCCCAGGCCCAGAGTTCAAGACCCTTGACCGACAAAAAACAAACAGCAACAAAAAACTAGGGGCCTTAATGCTGTCCCTAAGCTTTTCTGCTGAAGGCTAGCACTCTAGCCCTTTGAGCCACAGCTCCATTTCCAGTTTTCTGGTAGTTAACTAGAGATGAGTCTCAAGGACATTCCCAATGGGACTGGCTTCAAACCATGATGCTCAGATCTTAGCCTCCTGAGTAGCCATAATTAGGTTATAAGCCTAAGCTTTTTACAACTACACTATGTTTGTTTAATTTAAAATGAAAGATTTAAAAAAAGAGAGAAAGGCTCACGTTTATAATCCTAGATACTTGGCAGGAGCAGTTTATGATTGAAGCCAGGCCAGGTAGGAAATTCCTTGAGACACTTATCTTTAGCTACCCACCAAAAAGCTGGAAGTGGAGCTGTGGCTCAAGTGATGGAGCAAGAGCTTGAGGCCCTCAGTTGAAGCCCTGATACACACACACACACACACACACACGCACGCACGCACGCACGCACACACACGCACGCACGCGCATGTCAAAATGCAGGAGGCTATGGGGAGAAAAGCAAAAGGATGAATACTCATTTTTCCTCCTAGGTTGGACTTTTCACTGAAATTGGGCCCATGTCTTGCTTTATCTCCCGTCATGTAAGTTTGGGTGCACTGAGTGGGGCCGAAGACTGGAGACGTTCACTTCTGACCATTTCATGTAGCAAAATGTAGTAAAATGCTGATTCCACCTCATGTTTCCTTTCAGTCCATCCCATCAGAGATGGAGTTTGATCCCAACTCCAACCCACCTTGTTACAAGACAACGGATGAGGTGAGTAGGCAGAAAGCATTCTGGAAGAGGAAGGAAGAAAAGCACTGGCCTGCAGATGTCTGAGAACACTGTTCTCCTCTCCTTAGGACATTGTGATTCAGCAGGATGATGAGATTCGCTTGAAAATTGTAGGAACCCGTGTGGACAAGAATGACATTGTGAGTCTCTTGCCTGCCTCCCTGCCTGAACCAGGCAGAGCTGAGAACTGTTGATTTCTCACCACTCACAGTTCCTGGGGGTTCTTTTAAGAGGGAAAAGGGCTGGGAGGGCCCGGGGCTGGTGGAGTGGTGGTGCTTCTGTGCTTTCTTTGGCCTTACTTCATTTTTATTTTCCCTCCTCCAGTTTGCTATTGGCTCCCTGATGGATGATTATTTGGGTAAGTGTCTGCCTCATCATGGGTGCCAAGGCTGGGCCTGGAAAGAGCGAGGATGGAGGACTTAATGTCCCAGTCAGTTCTCACTCTTTAGAAGTTCAGGGCATGTGGCTTTGGGGAGGAAAGTATCCATGGGCCACACCTGAGGGCTGGGTTTAGCTGATGTGCTTTCCCTGTTTTTCCAGGGCTTGTGAGCTGAGCATGCACTGCTATGACTTTTTTGGTCCTGACTGGGGAAGTGTGACCTGCATACTTGCTCCTTGGTCCAGAGGCTGATTCTGGCTGTTGGCAGGAAAACAAAGAAAGTTCCTTGACTCCAGGAGACATCTGGCACTTGCCGCTCACTATGTGTTCTAATTATTAAAGGTCCTTGTTTCTGAAGGAAATGTTACATTTTCTCTCTCTTTTTGGGGGGCATCTAGAAATAACAACTCTAAAAAATGCCCATAGGAGCTGGTACAAGCCAGTAGCTACTCAGGCTAAGATCCAGAGGATCATAGTTTAAAAAAATCAGTGAGATTCTCGCTTCAGAATGAAGAATGAACATCAGCACAGCGGCTTATACCTGTAATCTAGCTACACAGGAGGTAGAGATTGAGGATCAAGATTCAAAGCCAGCTAGGGTAGGAAATCCTGTAAGACTCTTATTTCTACTTAACTACCAAAAAGCCAGATGTGGAGCTGTGGCTCTTGTGTTGGAGCACTAGCCTTGAACAACCTCCCCCCCAAAACAAACCAACCCTTCAGGGACAGTACCTAGGCCCTGAGTTCAAGCACCAAGACCAGGACTACCTCCCCCCCACAAAAAAAAAGCCAGAAGTGGAGGAATAGCTGAGTTAGTGGAGTACCAACCATGAATGTAAAAAAAAAGGAAGAGCATGAGGGCCTGAGTTCAAGCCCCAGGACCAGGGTAATGTATTTACGCTGGCTTACATATATGTATTTATGCTGGTCCTGGGGCTTAAACTCAGAGCCTGGGTGTTGTCTTTGAGCTCTTTTGCTCAAGGCTGGTTAGTGCTCTACCACTTTGAGCCACAACACCACTTCCAGTTTTCTGGTGATTAATCAGAGATAAGAGTCTCTTAAGAGGGGCTGGGAAGGTGGCTCAGTGGTAGAGCACTTGCCTTGCATGCATGAGGCCCTGGGTTTGATTCCCCAGCACCACATAAGCAAAAAGGAAAAGAGCCAGAAGTGGTGCTGTGGCTCAAGTGGTAGAGCGCTAGCCTTGAGCTGAAGAGCTGAGGGACAGTGCCCAGGCCCAGAGTTCAGGCCCATGACCAGACCCCCCCCCCCAAAAAAAAAAAAGAGTCTCTTGAGGACTTTTCTGCCGGGGCTGGCTTTGAACTTGGATCCTCAGATCTCAGCCTCCTGAGTAGCTAGGATTGTAGTGTGAGCTACCAGTACTTCCACTGCTGCAATGGAATTTTACTGGAAATGTTTAGGTTGTAGATACTATCTCATTGTAGAATGAGTTGTTTACACAGGCTGTAGGGTTCTCCTAGGCTCCCTAAATACCATGTCTCATTGGGAGTAAATTCTTCCCCAAATGAACCAATTACTCATATATAAACAATAGTGGGAGGGGGGACACCTGGAAGGAACACCAAGTCTGGAGAGAAGACTGGGCAGAGTGATAGTTGAGGGAACTGAGCATCTGAGTGCTGCTGAGGATGCAGATGTTGGGATCTAGGGTGTGGCACTAAGGCTAGCACCATGCTGTGTAGTAGAATTTTAGGCTGACATCCTCACAAGACACCACACACACACTTCTCCCTTTTTCCTCCTCCTCTTCCTTCACTTCCTTCTAAAAAGAAAAATCTGGCTCTAAAGTCATTCTAAAGGCATGCCATCTTGTGTCATGTGAGTCTCAGTTTTTTTTTTTTTTCCTGTGGGGCTTGAACAACGGGCCTGGGCGCCGTCCCTCAGCAATTCAGCTCAAGGCGAGTGTTCTATCACTTGAGCCACAGTGACACTTCCAGCTTTTTCTGCTTATGTAGTGCTGAGGAATCGAACCCAGGGCCTCATGCATGCAAGGCAAACACTCTACCACTGAGCCACCTTCCCAGCCCAAGTCTCATTTCTGCCTCCACAAAAATTGTAGGCAAAAGCTGGGCACCAGTGGCTCACATCTGTAATCATAGCTACTTAGAAAGCTGAGATCTGAGTATCATGGTTCAAAGCTAGCCCAGGCAGGAAAGTCTGTGAGACTGTTAACTCCAATAAACTACTCAGAAAAAGTCAGAAGTAGTGCTGTGGCTCAAGTGGTAGAGCACTAGCCTTGAGCACAAAGAGGCTCAGTGACAGTGCCCCAGTAGGCCCTGAGTTTAAGTCCCAGGGCAAGCCCCCCCAAAAAACATTTGTAGGCAAATAAGTGCCATACTTATTTAAAGACTGGATACAGCTTCCATGTATCCCAATGGCCCTTGGGTCTTCATTCATCCTCTCCTGCGTCAAAGCTTGCAAATGGCTCTCCAAACCAGTAAACATCAGCAAGGTGATTGGTCCACACCCCAGGTATTGCTGAATTGTGAACACAGTCAGAGAAGGGCATCCTCTCTCCTTCCTTTCAAGCACAGGTGGATGGACACTGTAGTGTCCCAAAGCATCAAACCACTTCAAATGTCAATATGGTGGAAAAAAACTCAGCAGGGTCTTTGCCTCAGGTGAGTTGTCATGGCAACCCTAGATACCTCCATCTGCTGTCATAGTTCAGTCCCAGATGATTCTCTTTAAACAAGCTGAAGCATCTGGCCCTGAGAGGAAGTGGGGAAGATATATACAGGCATTCTTCCCTACAGAAAACTCCCTTCTTGAATTGAAATGAAAAGGGTGAGGTGTGTAGCTCCATGGTAGAATGTTTGCCTAGCATGTCCAAGGCCCTGGGTTGTTTGGTCCCCAGCACTGTGATTAAGTAAATAATAATAAATAATAACTCTGGCCAGGCACTGATGGTTCATGCCTGCAGTCCTTTCTCAGGAGTCTGAGATCTAAGGATCATGGTTTGAAACCAGTCTAGATAGGAAAGGGTCCCCCCCCTCAACCCCCCAATCCTGGGCCTTGAACTCAGGGTCTGGGTGCTGTCCCTGAGCTCCTTTCTGCTCAATGCTAGTGCTCTACCATTTGAGCCACAGCGCCACTTCCAGCTTTTTCTGAGTAGTTTATTGGAGATAAGTGTCTCAGGGGACTGGGAATGTGGCTTAATGGTACAATGCTTGTCTGGCATGCATAAAGCCCTAGATTCGATTCTTCAGTACCACATAAACAGAAAAGACTAGAAGTGTCGCTTTGGCTCAAGTGGTAGAGTGCTAACCTTGAGCAAAAGAAGCTCAAGAACAGTGTCCGGGCTCTAAAAAAAAAAAAAAAAAAAAATCTCAAGGACTTTCCTTGCCCAGGTTGGCATTGAACTACGATCCTCAGAGCTCATACTCCTGAGGAGCTAGGATTATAGACATGGGCGACCAGTGCCCAGCTAGGAAAGTTTTTTTTTTTTTT